AGGGGTGGAAACGACTGGGGTTTGAACGATCTGAGGGTTGGGAGGACGATTGTGATCCAAGTTATGCTGGGCAGGATCGTCTGCAGGAGGATATGAGAGAGATGCTGAAGGTCTCGACCTGTGGGGCGATCTCGATCTATGAGCAGAGTGGGATGAATATTGATCCCAGTCGGAATAGCTCGCCGGAGTCAGCCATGGCAAGGATGGTGGATAAGCCCCATACAGATACTTCATCTGTCGTTGATCCCAAGACAGAGGTGGTGGCGGGGGTAAGAAGACTCACGGGGATCGACTTCTGGACCGTGGACACCTCGGAGACAAAGCGGCAGCATGTCTTTGAGAGGAGCCCATAAAATCTCGGTTGTCGATATTGACAGATTGACTATGCAGATGTGGAGGGTGACGCTGCGTGTCGCATGAAGCATATCGGTGCCGACATGGATCGATGTTGGGAGCTTCCGATACCGTTGACGATGGGGAAGGAGACGGAGAAGGCTCTGCATCCATTTGACGACTTAGGAGCACTACCATTTCGATTTCGGAGTAAGGACGCTCCATTTGGTGGACAGGGGAGTCCAAGACATGGATGGTCGCTATCGGTGGAGGGACTTGCGCCTCCGGTATTGATACAGTCGTTGGAGCGGGAGGCACTTTAGGGGCATCACCCAGTGCAGCCACCGCTACTTTCCCCTTTTTTGCTGCCTTAAGGGGTTTGGAAGAGCCCTTCTTTGCGGACTTCTGCTCCTTACTTGGCCTGGATTTCTTTTTCACCGGTGTGGAAGTGGAAGATTGCGCCTTCGATGCCGGAGGCTTCGGTGTCGGTTGACCGATATCGGAGGCAGGCCTCGGTGCCGAAGCTGTTGAGGGCGATGGTTTCTCGGCGTCCATCGCTGAGGAAGGATGTAGAGCCGATTCTAGCAGGGCCACTTTAAGGCGCGCAGCTCGGTTTTTCCAGGTCTGGTTTGAAAAGCGAGCACAGTGGTGACAAGATTCAGGTCGATGAGACTCTCTGAGACAAAGTATGCAAAGGGTATAACGGTAAGGAGGAGCAAGTTTACTACTGCAACCCTTGCACCTATTAAAAAAGCCCTACTTCTCTTCCATAAAATCCAAAATGAAGAAGAAAGAAAGGGGGGGGTAGCCCGAAGGCCCGACTGAGGTAAAGCGGCAACCTCCCCCTCATCAGAAAATAAAAGGGTTTTTTAAAAGTTTTTTGAAAGAACAATGAAGAAAAACAATAAACTGAGGAAAAATCCAGAGAGCCGTGAGGCAAAAAGCCAAAACACGCGAACCGATCAGGCCGGCGAAGAAAAAGGTCTTTCCAACACGGCGGTAAGAAAGGAACTGGTGGGATGTCCTTGCCCACACCTCTGGGCATGTGCGATGGGGTTCCTGCGCATGCCCGAGGTCTGGGCGCGAAAATCCGTTAAAAGAGCTTGCTACAGCACCGATCGATCCAGCGCGTGCGCACTAGATCCCATGGGTGTGAAGCACAGAGACCACGTCGAAGATCAGAACAGTTTTACACAATGCGTAGTTTATGAATTCATGGTCACCACCTGTAATAATCATCATTATTAGACAAATTCACAGAAGATGGGTATATTGGTAGATCTTGGCCATGGTAGTAAAACAGAACCTTTGTGTTCAGAGGCCACATGCCACTGAATATCAATTACTGGGCACAACAAGAGGGGAAGGGCGACTGCCTTCACATTCTGCTGAAGGGCTTCTCAAGCACCTGGCTGACCACTGCAGGAATCAAGGTGCTGGACTAGATGGACCATTGGTTTGATCCCGCAAAGCTGTTCTTATATTCTAAAGTAGCTCATCCTGAATGTATGTCTTCCAACTCTCTAGAATTGTTACTCTACAATTAAATGCCCAGTGCATAAGGAGAAAATTGCTCTTCTTTTACTTTCACCTCTGAAGCAGGTTCCTTAATTTATGTTCAGCACTTCAGTGTGGAATGTCCACAATGCATTTTAGCTCCTATTCTCTAAATAAACAAAAGAACAGAACCTATGTCACACAATTTTTAGTTCTCTTAGAAGGTAGCAAGATACTGGATACTGAAGAAGCCACTGTGGTATTAGCATCTATTTTGCAACATCTGTAAAATACCTACTCCCTGCAAAATTTTCTCTCACACAAAATTAAAACCATATCATCTTTAAAGTCATTTTAATGCTTCAAATAGAATGAAAATTGTTCCCTTACATCCTCCAGTTTGTTGTTCTCGTGGCGCTCTGGCATTTCCCCATTCCTGTCATCCTTCAGGGCTTTCAAGAACTCACTCTTCTTATCTGTGCTGCGGCGCATCAGCTTTGTCAAACGAGAGGAGTTTATTTCAATGGGAGGGGTGGTGCTGGAGGGACTCTGAGGGGAGAAAAAGAGAGTTGTGATATATTCCAAAACTCGTCACTGGCTGTTTGTGCACTTATCACTGGCTGCTTGTGGCACTCAGTAATCACCCAGATTTCTACCTGAATATATACTGTTTGATTGAAGATCTATCTCATATTTCTGTCCTCCAAACAGTTGCTTCCAATCCCAGAAAGGTTTATTCCTAGGGTCACAAAACCCATATGGACTAACAGCCACATGGGTTGGGAAGCTGCTGTTGGGAGGGGTAAGGGGATGAAATTGCTTCTTGCATTAGCAGAAATGACTACTTGAGGAAGAGAACATGGGAAAAATCTGTGTCCGTCAGTGCCTTCTATGGACTCAAACCCATATACTAGCAGATGAGTCCTTTCCCATCCACAATACTATGATTTCAACCCTATCCCTTACCTCTTTGGAAGAGGCAAGAACTGAGCCACTGGCTAATACAGCTGGTTTGGTTACAGACACTGGACTGGTAAAGGCAGAATCACGGCTGGAGGACAGTGAGGTTGGTTTATGTTCACTTCTGTTAGCTTTCCACTGGCTTGGCTGCAATGCAAAGACAAATCACATAAAGATGGAGACAATTATTTTTCATTGCTGATATAAAATCAACAATGGTTCCCAAACTGTACAGTCACAAAATGCTACTTCTAGTGTGCACTACCAAGCATCTTGCATTGCAATAAAATCCTCTGGTGTGAAAGGAAGATCACACTCCAGACCACTAATGACAAAAATCCCTAAGGCTTCAAGACAAGATTACTTAAGGATCAAAATGAGTCAGCCTGTGTTTCTGTAGAATGGGCTTGTTCTAAAACACAAAACTCAGACCTCCAAACCCCCCCCCCCAAAAAAAAAATATGTGAAGGTTGTTGATGGTTGTTAAATGTTTGGCTCATTTTGGACACCCAGATGGACTTACCAGTTTCACTCACAATTATACCATAAGAGTGCCATCCTTCCAGCTCCTTTCCGCTGAAAATACTAATTGAAGAGATGCTGCAGAGGAAAGGCCTACATAGTAATTCCCAGCCTCTAAAACATGATTCATTTGCCCCAAGACAAGAGACATCTGGAGACCAACTAAGGCTTGTATGATAGGTGTGGCAATGACACTAGATGGCTGGCAACAGCAAGATGTATCAGAAATGACGCCTGTCATCAAATAGTTGTTTCATCTGTTCGTGTCTACTGATCTTCAGTGCTGTTCATACAGTTAATGTCTGGTCTAAGCAAGCAACTTAATATGCCATAAACGCACCCATCTATGGCAATCACATGGGGAGGGGCCATTGTTCATTGGTACAGCACATACTTTACACATGGAAGATCCCAGCTTCAATCCCTGGGATCCTCAGTTTAAAAAAAACATCAGGAAGACATGATCCACCTCACATCTTGGAAAGCTACAGCCAGGCAGAGTAGTCAATACTGACCTTGATAATAGCAGTGGTCTAAGTATAAAGCCGTTTCACGCCAGCTTTACTTTGGCAAGTATATTTGTGGCCCCTGTCCCAGCCGAAAGTGAGGAACTGGGTAGGAGCTTGTATCTGAACTTGCATTGAGTTTGGAAACAGCAAGGGCTCTCTGCTTGTAAACTTTAGCACAACTATGAAGATAAGTCCTTGTTTTTCTTCCACAACCGCAGCACAGGGTTTATTGCTGCATTTTTACTGAGCTTGAGAGTGGCTCTGAAACTTCTATCAGTGTAAGAGACAAAGCTCCACTGCTGTTCCAAGCAAAAGACAGCAGAAGGCGATGAGTGTGTTTTATTTCTATAAAGTTTTTCCACAAGGGACTTTTCTGCATGGTCAACTTACTCCTGATTTTCTTGGCAGTCAATCCACAAGCACTGGAATCCATTTGGGCATGGCATGTCTGCCCGCCCTTTACATTTTTACCACTGTGGAGAAGTTTATTTTCTTCTGCACATGCCTTCAATAAAGAGGATTTTCAAGGGAGGGTGCTGTCATCATCAATGGCATCCCAGCACCCTGCCCTCCTTTTCTAAAAACAGCACTAAAATACCAATATATTGCTACAGTGTTGTAACAATAGGCTGAGCAGTTTGTCTAAATTCCCAGCTTTCATTTTAAAAAGTTTCTAGCTCCTTCGCTCATGGAGATATAGGGAGGAAAGCATCTCCCTGCAAGGGAAAAGGCTGGAGACTTTTTTTTTTTAATTAAGGCTTGGAATTATTTATTGATTTATTAAATTCAGTTTATACCACCCATTCCCTGAAACAGGGCACAAGGCAGTGTACAGAGAAACTACTGAGCCTATTTTTATATATCAATATTTTTGCAACATTTGGGGGTGGGGGGAGGAAAGGAAACTACTCATCTTCAGGGTTTGGGGAGGAGAGGGAGTGGTATCACCATGACAGTCCAATCATCAAAAAAAGGGCTGGAGGTGCGTGGGAGCGGCAAGGACGAGAACTGGCAAACATTATGTATGAGGAAAAATGCAACTCAGTTGGTTTCCAGAAAAAGACCAGGGTCTCAAAAGTGGTCTCAAAAAAATGGAAAAACTCCAAATGGAAATGTGTGTGGAAATCAGGGGTTAAAACTGGTATGGGTCTAGAACCAATAAAACAATGGTATGTGGAAAAGTCCTAAGTTGGCACCATGAAAATCTCAACTGTTTTAAAAACAAGTTTCTTAGCTTAATGGGGTGTGTGTGGAGAAGAGCTTTCAAAATCTGAGGCTAGTGCTGAGTGAAAGAGTGAAAGGGAACTCAGTAGGCCTTCCAGTAGTTAAGGACAAGGATTTGATGTCCCCCATTCACAGCTTGTGTCATCTCTTATGGCTTCTTAACCGTATTAATTACTTTAGTGTAGTTTTAATGCCCTGGGCCTTCCTCCATGCCTCTCTACCCCAAATCCTTGCCCTCTATAATTCAAGCTGTTGCAAAAATAAAGTCTATATTAATTAGATTTGCAATCAAATTTTGTCTAAAGCAAAGCAATGATATTAGATTTCTCAAAGGAAATTGCATATCCCGAATAAAAACTTATATTCTTAGTATTATCAAGAACCCTTCCTTTGGGGTTTCTGTTCTTTCACAAACCTTGACTGGTCTTATTTTCACTCTTGTACGGGGGGGGGGGGGGGGGAAGAAGAAAGACGTATGCATACATGGATGTGTATTTCTACTAAGGCAATATTCTAATGGTGCAGCAATCTAATAGCTTCTTTAGCTACACATGTAAAGTTTTCAGCAGCAACACTAATTGCTCTATTACTGCAGCAGCCATTCAGTGCAAAAGCAAAGTGTTAGGTACCTTGGAAGGGGGTGCTGCAGGTTTAGGAACCAGATTTTTGTAGACACTTGGGACTATGGTGGTTGCCTTGTTGCCATTTGAAAGCTGAGGTCCTGGTGACGTAAATGCAGCTGAGAAGGCAGCAGCAGGATCTTCTTTTGAAACCTTTTTGATGACCAGCATCTTGGTAGGTTGCTTGGCACTAGGAGGGTTTTCTAGTTTAAAAAAAGAGGGAGAAAGATTTTCAAGAATGCCACAAAAATAATTTTAGCTCCAACTCCTACTCGGAAGGAACAATTCTTGACAGCCCTCTTGCTCACAGTAATGCAACTTTGCAGATTAAGTTCTATTCATTTTACTATTTCCTCAGCCTAGTCACTCAGGCAGGTTTTGCTCAAATGGGAAACATTTGATGACATCAGTCCAGCATGTAGGTTTCAGGATGAAAACCCGACTGCAGAGACCCCTTTTAGATTTAAGTCAAGTAAAAATACTATTAAAATAAAGCTCTGCCAAGATTCAGTTCAGGTAATATTCACTACAAGGTATGGTTTATACTTGCAATACTCCAGACCAACTGACCTCCATTTCTATGAGGTTCTTCAGTAAATGGAAAAGTCTAAACCAGCATGTTTTGACAACTGTGTGTTTCAAGCTACTCCCTACATCCAACATAAACTGGTTCAGTGAGCAATGAGAAGCTATTTACTGCACATAGATCCTTTGTGAAGCCTCACATTTTCAGCTGTGTGTTGGATTTTACAAAACATGAGCCAGGGATATATACATTCCCTAAGTTCCGTTTTCCCCAAAAGCCTGTTTCAGTCAGCAAAAGTTGAATGCCAGGGTAGTGAGGCCTGCAGTGAAGAGTGGGAATCATGTTAAATATGTCCCTTTCGCCTCTTTCACCAATGGTACTTCTTTTGGCAGAAGAAACAAAAGATAAACAAGATTCTGCTCACTGTCCCTCCTCATTATCACCGCATGGCTTTTTGTTCATGCAGGTTCCCAAGATCCATGGCATCAATTTCTGCAGGTCAAAGGGGGCTATTGGGGGGAAAGCAATGCAAAGAAGGTTGGTGTTCAGGAGTGCCTTCGTGGTTTCCAAACCACAGGTATTTATTTAAAACATTTATTAGCTGCCTTTCTTCCTTATGAAGCTCAAGGCAGATTACAAAATAGAAAAAACATATAAAATAAAACACATCTATATATATAAAAGAAAGTCCTCTCACCATAAAATCAACGCCCAGGCCAAACCCCTGGACCTAGAAGCATGAAATTTGGGGAGAGTGCTCCTACCATGACGTAGATACTCACTAAGAAGGGATTTTTAGAAATTTGACTCCTAAGGGGGTCAAAAGGGGCAAAATGTGCTCCTCCCATTGTTTCCTATGTGGCTGCCAGGCTGCTGCCTCCTTGCACCCTCCACTCTCTGATTGGTCAGCTGCAGAGCTCAGGGTTCTGAGGTAAAAAAAAAACCAATTACAGGAGACTTCAGAGAGCTAATGACAGTTGAGGAAATCAGGAATGGCCAACCGCCTGTGAGGAGCAGCACTGCTGCTGGCCCAGCCGCCCCCATGCCTTCAAACACGCACCCCCATCTCCTACACCTGACAGGTGGCCGTCTGTAAGGTGCCGCAGCGGGTGTAGGGTGCTTAAAGCCATGAAAGATCCGCCCCAGCAGTAACGCCTTAGCAATCTTGCTGGCCCAGTCTCTAAAATAGCTTGCAATACCCCACCCCTGTCAGGTGTAAGAGAGGGGGTGGGATGCTTACAGCCATTGGGGAGACTTGCTCAGCAGGACTGCCTTAGCACTGCTGCTGGCCCAGCCTCCGCGATTGCCTTTAAACACAACCCCCTCTTACACCAGACAGGTGGGTGTTTGTCAGGTGTAGGAGCAGGAGCAGGGTACTTTAATCCATCAGGCAGGCTGCCTGAGCAGAAACACCTTAGCAATGCTGCTGGCCCAGCCTCCTCAGTAGCTTTAGCCACACTCCCACCCACTATGGAAATATACCCCAAATTTGTAGAAAAGTGGTTTCCTGTATTAGGTTATTTAACTTCTCACAATGTGGGTTGTAGAAAATTGGGTCATATGAACTTGCTTAATATCTAATTACTTGAGTGTTGTTTTGAATATGTAGCTATGTCCCACTTCTTAAATGGAACATAAATGAGAGCATTTTTATTAAAAAAAGAAAAAAGTATGCCCCTGCACACACACACACCCAAATCAATGCCCATGGCAAACCCCTGCATCAAGAAACCCAAAATAAGGGGAGTGCATTCCTACCATGACGTCAACCCCCACTACGAAGAAAACCCCTTCAAGTTCAAGAGGCTGCAGTTCCCCCTCAAGGTCTGCTTTGCTATGACCATCAACAAGTCCCAAGGCCAGACACTGAAGGTGGCAGGAATTAACTTAACAGACGACTGCTTCTCACATGGACAGTTCTATGTGACCTACTCCAGAGTGAGTTCACCAAGCAGCCTGGTGATCCTAGCACCTGAGGGCAGAACCACCAATGTGGTCTACAGAGAGGTCCTTCAGTGGAGGAAAAAAACAGTACGTATGTCTCACTTCATTTTTACACTACAATCTTCTCCATTAGAATTCCTACAGCACATGTTACATTTCAAACTTCACATCATCAGTGGTATAACTGGATTTATGGAACTTAAATACCGTAGCGAACCACGGGTATCAGGCTAATTAAAAACATAAAAACCAAAATTTAAAGTCACAACTCTGGACTGCCAGTAAACGTAACCAAATGTGGTCCTAAATAAAAATGACTTCAATTGCCTCCTAAAGATCGAAAGTGAGGGTGCCAGCCATACCTCACTGGGGAAGTTGTTCCATAATCACGGGGCTGTCACTGAAAAGACCACCAACTGAGCTTCTTTGATTGATGGGACAGTCATGAGGGCCTCTCCCTGTGATCTTAATTCCCAGGCAGGAACATGTGGGAGAAGATGGTTATGACAATCTCGCCCTCTTCCCTCCCGCACACACTCTTCTTCTTTCTTGCTGAGCAATCCCCAGTATATATTTCCTTCCTATTTCTTTGTCTATGGCTATCCCACCCAGTCACTTTAATATAAACATTTTGATGCTAGCTGAGCCCAGGGAATTAAGGGAAGAAACAAAATCATCTTCTTATATTCAGCTTCTGAAATGGGACACGAGCGGCTTTATTTTTTAATGTTTTATTTAACTTACAAGAGAAAAGGCCAGGTGGAATCAGGGTAGGATGTATGAGGTGAACTGATAATAAAACTGAGGTAACTTTGTAATCACACGAACTCCACATGATTTGTTGCCAACAAGTGTTTCTGCTATTCAAAAAGGTCTTTTAAAACCAGTGGCTTCATGGCATGGGTCAATGGCCATGGGGCAAAGCAGGAATCCCCCAGCACCACCCTCTGAGATAACCCCTCAAAAGCACTCAAAGCACCATAACATGGTGCCCCCAGTCTCAGGGCTGAGAGGCGGCTCAATAGGATCCTATGGTATCAAAGGCCACTGAGAAATCCAGCAGAACTAGCAGAGTCACAGTCCCCAATATAGTTTTCAGTAGAGGTGATCAACCAAGGTGACCAAAGCAGTCTCTGTTCTAATTCCCATCATGAACCACACTGAAATAGGTTCAGAAAATCAGTCTCTTCCAAGAGTTCCTGGAGCTGAGAAGCAACAAACCGCTCAAGCATCTTGCCCAAGAATGGAAGGAGACTATAAATTGTAATACTGTTTCCTCAGATCTACAGAAGCAGGCATAACCTTGGTGAGCAAGGGGAGGAGGAAGTACAAAACTGTAGCTGTGCCAGAATTCCTAAGTACATTTATTCTGCCATTACTAAAAGTAGAAAAGCCAGAAGCACCCAGACTTCATATGCCAAACTGGTTACTGACAAAGACTTCATTTGTTTTGTTCCACTACTTCTACAGCATAATGTACCTACCCCAAACACCAGAAGGAGTCCCAACTGGTTTACTCTGGCTGTTCTGTTTTCCAGCTTCTGGATTCAGTGAAGGCTGTAATACGAAACCCAGAGAAATACATTTCAGATTAGGCTGCATAACTTCAGACTTCCCTTTTCAAAATACTTAAACCGGGATGAGAATCTTAATGGTACAATTTAGGAGCTGTTTTATTCAAAGTCTTGTTTTCTCAGAATACAAGTTCAAGTTTATTTATACGGTCAAGCAACCAGCCAATATAAAACATTACCTAGAGGAATAATAATGTAAGATACACTATAAATACATAAAATTCAGATGGATATATAAAAGAACATTAAAACGAATACATTATATCATTAAAACTATACAACACAATGCTAATTTGTCATCAACTTGCTATCTAAGGTACAAGCTTCCTCTTTTTAAGGGCCAGGAAGCAAAATTTTGCCACCACTAAAGATATCCTCTTTTTCCAGTCTTCCAGCAAAAAAATTAAAATCCTCAATTCCGCAAATTTCAACTGGACATCCAAGGGTTTAAATTTGGACAACAATGGGAAAATTAACAGCTGTCTGTCCCTAGCATAAATTTTACAATGTAACAGAATATGTGATACTGACTCTATATCAAAATTTGTACATGGGCAGCATCTTTGGGAGATAGGCCAACGCAAAAACCTTCCTCGTAACAGATTAGAGGGTAGGGCATCAAAACGTGCTCTGGAGAAAGCCCATCTATAGCCGTCGTATGTGATGTTAGAAAGATATGGAGCGGGAGCAAAACCTGTCCAGGATTTTAAGACTCCATATCTTGAGGGTAAGAGCGCTTCTTCTGTCTGAGCCTCTATATCTATTAGGCGTTGGGTTACCATAGATTTAGCTTTAGTCAATCCTAGCTCCAACAGACTTGCAGGATGAAACCCAATTGAACCAAGTTTGGCTAATATTTTAGAGGACCAATCAGGGTATGGAGTGGCAGCAAGTAAAGATGGAATTAGACCTGTAGGCTTCAAGTGCGTTCTTAACCAATAAAAAATCGAAGCTATCCAGATTTTCGTTTCCATTTTTGTCACCCCAATCTCCTGCCTAAGAACTACATTTGCTGTACATTTAGGCGCATTAAATAATGCTCTAATAAATTTAGATTGAACTTTTTCCAGGTCCTTAAAGTTATTATCACTTATTGTAATTACTTGCATACCATATGTGAGTTGGGTTAATACCTTTGCATCAAATAATTTCAAAGCCACTAAAATTACACCTTGGCCCTCCTTTCTAAAAAATCTAATAATAGCATTAACATTTCTCTCAGCAGAGCAGATTGTAGAGGCTATATGTGCTGAGGAGCTGCCATTGTAGCTGAAAATTATCCCTAAATACTTATATGTTTTTACTTGCTCTATAAGTTGTCCATTTATTCTCCAAGAATCTTTCTTATATACCCTGTTAAAACAAATAATCTTAGTTTTGGAATAATTAATCGTTAATAATTCCTCGTTACATTTCTTACTAAAAACTCTTAGGGCCCGTTTAAGACCAACTCTAGTTTGGGACAGTAAGATAGCATCATCCGCGTACATCAGTATTGGAACCGCCTCTCCACCTGAGAAATTAGGGGCGTGAACGTCTACCCCATGTAGAGACTGAATAAGGGAATTAACATATATATCAGAATACGTACTTTGATATACTGACAGCTAATGACATGGAGCCTATGGCTCAGTTCAGACATCATGCAAAACCATGGTTTAATGTTTGAATGCAGGCCACACCACTAACAATGGCTGGTAAGGCCCATTGAACCAGGATCTGAAATTGGTTTACCATGGTTAAGTCTTCCCTATGTTTTTGCTGATTTTAGTGGAAAGTTACATCTCTTAGTCAAAAGGTCAATGACACAAATGAATTAAAAAAATTTAGGTGACTGCTATCCAGACCCAGGAATTTCTTTTTAAATTTGTCATTAGGATCTTGATCTTTTGTCACTTTTATTCTGGCATTGTATTTTACATATACTAACTGAAAACTGTTCAATTATATCCCAGCCACCCTGGAGGCCCCTTTGTATGGAGGACCAAGATGGGTGCATGAGAGAAAAAAGCTAGAATTTATTTAGCTATAGGCCAATGATAGGAGGCATCATATATGAAGAAACCTGTGTCCCCATCCTCAAATTCCATTTAGGCCTATTGAATAAGGGAAGAGGAACATTTTTTTTGGGGGGGGGGGGATCTAGCTCCCAGCACAACATCTCAGCTATGTGTTTTTCTCCTTCCTGTTTGCTGGTACCTGTAAAACTTGCTTGTGGTCAATGCCTCTGGATGAGCCAGCTAAAGAATCTCAGCCCAAGACATACTGTAGGGTTTTTTAAAAAATTATTTATATTGCATTCTTGCTGTTGTGAGTCACTTGGGGTCCCCTCCAGGGAGAGAAACAGGATAAAAATACTTAAACCAATAAATTTTGGGAATGACAACATGGTAAACATCACCCAGTTTTTACTGATAGGAAGCAGAAAATTTAGCCAGTGATTCATTATCTCAGAATTGTTCTATTTATATAAGAACATAAGAGACGCCAATGTTGGATCAGGCCAAAGGCCCATCCAGTCCAACACTCTGTATCACACAGTGGCCAGAAATACCAGTGCCATCAGGAGGTCCACCAGTGGGGCCAGGACATTAGAAGCCCTCCCACTGTTGACACCCCCCCCCCAGCAGAAGACAGAACATCACTTGCCCCAGAGTCCCTATCTATACCTTGTGGCTAATAGCCACTGATGGACCTCTGCTCCATATGCTTATCTAATTCCCTTTTGAAGCTGTCCATGCTTGTAGCCGCCACCACTTCCTGTGGCAGTGAATTCCATGTGTTAATCACTCTTTGAGTGAAGTACTTCCTTTAATCCGTTCTAACCCGACCGCTCAGCAATTTCATGGAGTGCCCACAAGTTCTTGTATTGTGAGAAAGGGAGAAAAGTACCTCTCTCTCTACCTGCTCTGTCCCATGCATAATCTTATAAACCTCAATCATGTCACCCCTCAGTCGTCGTTTCTCCAAGCTAAAGAGCCCTAAGCACTTTAACCTTTCCTCATAGGGAAAGTGTTCC